TAATAATCCCTCTGAGGTATACAAGCAAACAGAGAAAGATAATGACGAATATGAGACAAATATCCGATATAAATGGAAGAATGTAAAGTAAATGTCTTTCGAAGAAAGGTCTACAATTCCAAAAGTAAGAAAGAACCGTCAAGTAAAGGAAACCATCAACCTCGCTAAAAAAAAAAATTAGAAAAATAAGGAACGAAACTGAAAGACCGATGAACCTGACAAAAATTAATCATCTGATATACGCGGCCTCGGCAACGATCGCAGAATCAATAGATGAAAAAGTAAAAACACGACGTAAACAGAAAAGAAAATCTTCAAAGAAAATTCCAAGAAACTATATCGAGAACTGGGAAAAACAAAATAGAGATAAATGACCCACCTAATACCCAGGAAGATGAGGAGTTCTGGTGTAAGATGTGGGAAAACTACAAAATGCACAATGAAAGAGCCACATGGATCAAGCAACAACAGAAACCACACACATATATAGAGTGTCAAAAATGGACAGATATTAATCAATATTACTGAAAAACTGCAAAGCACCCGGAATAGACCGAATAGCTAATTTTTGGATAAAAAAAATCTATCTAGTACCCAGGAAGACCTCGCACAGGCTTACAATGAAATAATCATTAACCCTGAAAAATGCCCCAAATGGCTCACGTGAGGATTAACATACCGACTCCCAAAAACAGAAGTGACGCAGAACTCGAAGAACTATAGGCCCATCACCTGCCTACCAACGATGTACAATGTAATTCTATCATAACTAACAGGGCATACAACTTCCTTGAGAAAAAAAATTACTCGCAGCAGAACAGAAGGGAAGTAAAAGAGGAAGTTGCGGGTGCAAAGACCAACTAATTATCAATAAAACAATATTGAAAACGGTGAAAACAAAAAAAAGAATCTTATCGGCAGCATGGATGTACTACAGAAAGGCATTCAACACATAGAGCCTAAAAATATAGAGAGTATGCCCCACAACGGTCAAATTCATAACAGAAAGCATGAAAAACTGGAAGACTACTCTAAATCGAAACAATACAAACGGGTCATTAACATCGAGACCAATCAATATCAAAAGCGGAATCTTCCAAAGAGATTCATTATCACCACTACTCTTCTGTCTTGCATTAGCGCAACTCAGCTGCTTACTGAACAACAGTAGCCACGGATACAAGACACAGAATGGCAAAATGAATCACCTATTTTATATTAATAATCTTAAAACGTTTAGCAAGGATGACAACCAACAGAAAAAACTACTCACAATTGTCAAAACCTTCAGCGAGGACATTAGGATGAAGTTCGGAAACGACAAATGTGCCAAAGCCACCTTCAAATGTAGTAAACAAACGAAAACTAGATTTAGACGTTGATATAAACAACAACATTAAGGAACTAGACCAAAATGGTACATACAAATACTTAGGAATTAATGAAGGAGACGGAATACAACATTCAATTATGAAGAAAAAGATCCAAAAAGAATATTATAGAAGATTGCGTTTGATACTAGAAAGCAAACTTAATGGGGGCCAATAAAATGAAAGCTATTAACACATTAGCTATATCCGTAGTAACATACAGTTTCAACATTATTAAATGGAAGTTGGGTGACATTAATAGATTGGACGCCAAGACCAGAAAAATGCTTATCCAAATGAGGATGCCCCAACCGAAATCAGATGTTGATAGGTTGTACGTACCAAGAGATTTAGAAGGTCGAGGTCTAATCCAAGTTGGATTAACTCTAAAAACTATAATAATTAGATTGAAAGCATACCTCACATAAACCAATGACACTCTTCTACAAATAGTAAAACACTAAATCCACTGCATCAACAAAGAAGCTACACTCTTCAAGAAACAGCTTAATAAACCTAAAATCCTACCAACAAAAAACAAAGCGAATACCATCGATGCCAAACGAGAAAAGCAGAAGGAAAAACAACTTGGCCAAATGAAATTACAACAAAACTGGGAGGACAAGTCGTTGCATGGCAAATGCATAAAAAGAACGAAAGAAGCAGATGTGGACTATCAGAAAACATATCAGTGGCTGAGGAGCACCCGGTTGAAAGATGAGACAGAAAGCCTAATTATTGCAGCTAAGTACCAAAGCCTCGCAACTAGATCCTATCATTGTCACATAATCAAGGATGCAACTAACTCGAAATCCAGGATCTGCGGAACATATGATGAAACTGTCGACCATATTAATGTCCGAAACTGGCAAAAAAAAAATGTATATACCCACAGACATAACAAGGTAGCGATATATGTGCAATGGAAGATATGCAAGACGCACAAAATTGAAACACTGAGAGATGGTATGACCACCCACCAGACACAGTTATTCAAAATAACGATGTAACCTCAGGGACATGACAATTCAAACTTACAAGGAAATAAAAGACAACAAACCTGATATTATCATAAAAGACACGAAATTAAGGAAGGGTATGCATATTGACATAGCAGTACTATCTGAGAGAAACACTTCCATAAAAATTATCGAGAAATTGTCCAAATACAAGGACCTGGAGATCGAGATTAGCAGGATGTGAGGAATGAAGACTGAGAATGTACCAATAGTAATCGGAGCACTGGGCCTCGTGAGAAAAGGAATGAACAATTTTACTAAGTGTTCCAGGTAACATCAGCATAGAAATTGCCCAGAAAATCGCCCTACTAGGAACATCTCATATACTAAGAAAAGTGCTATCAATTAAATGACAATTCACCTATAGGGCCTAAGGACCATAGTTTGGACACGGCTCTACAGTAGGAAACATAACATCAGTCAGTTATGTGTCATGTGTGATACACGCTTAGGTGATCATGTATCTTTAGATACATAACTGACGAGGTAGATTTTTCCAACAGTAGGTTGCTATTTCTTTCTGCGGTAGACTAATTGCTATCCAAGGTTATAGAACCCGGTCTGTCCTGCTATTTACCCAGAGCTGGGGTGGGGAGAAGATGATTCATACTTTTCCCAGGGGTATTAGTACGTAATGGATTCGAACAGAATTCAAACTCGGCTCTCAGATTCCTCAATCCTAGCTGCTATCCATTACTCCACATGGCCCCACTAAACATACGATACACAAATAATAAGTTTCTCCATTCTTCGGCCAATCTTTCATCGTCTATTCAGGGTCCTTGATAGCAGACATAGAAAGAAAGATACAAAAACTCCTATAGAAGATAATGTAGGAAATCAGTTGAAAATCAACTGCAGGAAGACAAAATCGATGGTTGTTAGCAAATGAATGAATCCAAAGTACGAATTACAAATTCGATTTACCAAAATCAAACAAGCGCAAAAATTTAAGAATATGGAAAATGTTTTAACAGAGGACGCAAATTGTGACACTGTAATCCGAAGGCATATTGGGATAACCAAAGATGCTTTCCAAAAGCTAAACAAAGTACTAAGAAATAAGAAAATTTCACTAGAAACAAGGAAAAGGCTACTAAACTACTACATGATATTTGTCCTCATGTACGGCAGTGATGGCTAGAAAATCACTTTTAAATATGAAGAGACTTGAAGCAACAGAACGGTGGTTCTACAGAAGGATGCTGAGGATAGCATGGACCAAACATGTAAGCAAAGACGAAGTTTTAGAGAAAATGGAAACAAAAAGAAAACCTATACTTAACATCAGGAAGAGACAGTTAAAGTTTCTAGGGTACATATTGAAGAAAGAGGGCTTGGAGAACCTGATACTCACAGATTTAAGGCATGAGAGACAAACGAAAACAATTCATAACAGAGTGAGCTTCAGTAAATAGATTACGGAACAGTGTTTATGAGAAATAACAAAGAATTCATTAAGAGCGACAAGGGACAGGAAGCTGTAAAGAGCCATGATCTGAGGAGACAAGGTACATAGCGAAGAATAATATACCCAATGCTAGTGACTCATCCCCAGGTAGTCACTCCTGTGATATCACCAAATCGAAATGCCTCGGGAGACTAAACGGTTTTTATTATGTGGGCCATTAATAATTTTTGTATTAATTCACATTTGTGCCTTATTCCGCTCGTGCGGACAAGCGAATGAAGTTCTGCCCGAATTTTAACTTTTTGTTAAAATAAACGAAATTCAAAGAGTATTCTATAATGTCTAATGGAGCTGAACATTATTTTTATGTTTAGATGCATTTAAACTGATCAAATTTTATTTCAGAGAATAATAAAATTAAATTTTGTTTGATTAAAACCCTGCTGACATGGAAGTACCCAAGAATCATTTGAGGCACATAATGCTTTATGAGTTCAAGAAAGGAAACTCAGCAGCCGAAGCGGCTAGAAACATTCACTCAGTTTATGGAGAGGAATGTGAATGAAAGAACTTGCAGAAGATGGTTTGCAAAAATTCAGAGGTGGAGATTTCACCCTTGAAGATGAAGATCGAACCGGACGTCCAGTTGAGTTTGATGAAAAGCTTCTTGAAGCAGCCCTTGAAGAAAATCCTGCTTTATCAGTTGATGAATTGGAAGTGGTTCACAGTTAAAACCATACAACTGTTCATCATTTAATATCATATCCATGAAATTATCATTGTCGGCAGGACTAACTTCTATATATTTGCTTATATGGTCAAATCCCAAGGAACTGGAAAGTTAATATTTTGGACGTTAATCAAAATAAAACAGAAAAAATTCTGGTCTGGAAAAAAAATGAAACTGTAACCTCATTCTATTTAATCATTATCCATAATATCCCCTGCGTGTATACAAGCACAGATATGAAGAGATGGGCACGGATCATTGAAGCATTTCTTAACAGATCCTAAACGGACCTACCAATAGAAAAAACATTCTTGTTTTCCCTCCTAATAAGAAGGAAGGACACTATTCCCATGATGATGAAGGACACTGTTCCCATGATGATGAAAGACACTGTTCCCATGATTATCAAGGACACTATTCCCATTATGATGAAGGACACTATTCCCATGATGATCAAGGACACTATTCCCATGTTGGTCAAGGACTATTCCCATGATGATCAAGGACACTATTTCCATGATGATGAAGGACCCTGTTCCCCTGATGATCAAGGACACTGTTCCTATGATGATCAAGAACACTGTTCCCATGATGATCAAGGACACTGTTCCCATTATGATCAAGAACACTGTTCCCATTATGATCAAGGACACTATTCCCATGATGATGAAGGACACTGTTCCCCTGATGATCAATTAGATTGTTCCTATGATGATCAAGAACACTATTCCCATGATGATCAAGGACACTGTTCCCCTAACGATGGACACTGTTCCCATGATGATCAAGGACTCTGTTCCCATGATGATCAAGGACACTGTTCCCATGATTATCAAGGACACTATTCCCATTGTGATCAAGGACACTATTCCCATTGTGATCAAGGACACTATTCCCATGATGATCAAGGATACTGTTCCCATGATGATCAAGGACACTGTTCCCATGATGATCAAGGACACTGTTCCCCTAACGATGGACACTGTTCCCATGATGATCAAGGACTCTGTTCCCATGATGATCAAGGACTCTGTTCCCATGATGACCAAGGACACTGTTCCCATGATTATCAAGGACACTATTCCCATTATGATGAAGGACACTATTCCCATGATGATCAAGGACACTATTCCCATGTTGGTCAAGGACTATTCCCATGATGATCAAGGACACTATTTCCATGATGATGAAGGACCCTGTTCCCCTGATGATCAGGACTCTGTTCCCATGATGATCAAGGACACTATTCCCATTGTGATCAAGGACACTATTCCCATGATGACCAAGGACACTATTCCATTGTGATCAGGACACTATTCCCATGTTGGTCAAGGACTATTCCCATGATGATCAAGGACACTATTTCCATGATGATGAAGGACCCTGTTCCCCTGATGATCAAGGACTCTGTTCCCATGATGATCAGGACACTATTCCCATTGTGATCAAGGACACTGTTCCTATGATGATCAAGGACACTGTTCCCCTAACGATGGACACTGTTCCCATGATGATCAAGGACTCTGTTCCCATGATGATCAAGGACACTGTTCCCATGATGATCAAGGACACTATTCCCATGATGATCAAGGACACTATTCCCATTGTGATCAAGGACACTATTCCCATGTTGGTCAAGGACTATTCCCATGATGATCAAGGACACTATTTCCATGATGATGAAGGACCCTGTTCCCTGATGATCAAGGACTCTGTTCCCCATGATGATCAAGGACACTATTCCCATTGTGATCAAGGACACTATTCCCATGATGATCAAGGACACTATTCCCATTGTGATCAAGGACACTATTCCCATGTTGGTCAAGGACTATTCCATGATGATCAAGGACACTATTTCCATGATGATGAAGGACCCTGTTCCCCTGATGATCAGGACTCTGTTCCCATGATGATCAAGGACACTATTCCCATTGTGATCAAGGACACTATTCCCATGATGATCAAGGACACTATTCCCATTGTGATCAAGGACACTATTCCCATGTTGGTCAAGGACTATTCCCATGATGATCAAGGACACTATTTCCATGATGATGAAGGACCCTGTTCCCCTGATGATCAAGGACTCTGTTCCCATGATGATCAAGAACACTATTCCCATGAGGATCAAGGACACTGTTCCCATTATGATCAAGGACACTATTCCCATTATGATCAAGAACACTGTTCCCATTATGATCAAGGACACTATTCCCATGATGATGAAGGACACTGTTCCCCTGATGATCAATTAGATTGTTCCTATGATGATCAAGAACACTATTCCCATGATGATCAAGGACACTGTTCCCCTAACGATGGACACTGTTCCCATGATGATCAAGGACACTGTTCCCATGATGATCAAGGACACTGTTCCCATGATGATCAAGGACACTATTCCCATTGTGATCAAGGACACTATTCCCATGATGATCAAGGATACTGTTCCCATGATGATCAAGGACACTGTTCCCATGATGATCAAGGACACTGTTCCCCTAACGATGGACACTGTTCCCATGATGATCAAGGATTCTGTTCCCATGATGATGGACACTGTTCCCATGATGATCAAGGACTCTGTTCCCATGATGATCAAGGACACTGTTCCCATGATGATCAAGGACACTATTCCCATTGTGATCAAGGACACTATTGATGATGATCAAGGACACTGTTCCCATGATGATCAAGGACACTATTCCCATTGTGATCAAGGACACTATTCCCATGATGATCAAGGACACTATTCCCATGTTGGTCAAGGACTATTCCCATGATGATCAAGGACACTATTTCCATGATGATGAAGGACCCTGTTCCCTGATGATCAAGGACACTGTTCCTATGATGATCAAGAACACTGTTCCCATGATGATCAAGGACACTGTTCCCATTATGATCAAGAACACTGTTCCCATTATGATCAAGGACACTATTCCCATGATGATGAAGGACACTGTTCCCCTGATGATCAATTAGATTGTTCCTATGATGATCAAGAACACTATTCCCATGATGATCAAGGACACTGTTCCCCTAACGATGGACACTGTTCCCATGATGATCAAGGACTCTGTTCCCATGATGATCAAGGACACTGTTCCCATGATGATCAAGGACACTATTCCCATGATGATCAAGGACACTATTCCCATTGTGATCAAGGACACTATTCCCATGTTGGTCAAGGACTATTCCCATGATGATCAAGGACACTATTTCCATGATGATGAAGGACCCTGTTCCCCTGATGATCAAGGACTCTGTTCCCATGATGATCAAGGACACTATTCCCATTGTGATCAAGGACACTATTCCCATGATGATCAAGGACACTATTCCCATTGTGATCAAGGACACTATTCCCATGTTGGTCAAGGACTATTCCCATGATGATCAAGGACACTATTTCCATGATGATGAAGGACCCTGTTCCCCTGATGATCAAGGACTCTGTTCCCATGATGATCAAGAACACTATTCCCATGAGGATCAAGGACACTGTTCCCATTATGATCAAGGACACTATTCCCATTATGATCAAGAACACTGTTCCCATTATGATCAAGGACACTATTCCCATGATGATGAAGGACACTGTTCCCCTGATGATCAATTAGATTGTTCTGATGATGATCAAGAACACTATTCCATGATGATCAAGGACACTGTTCCCCTAACGATGGACATGTTCCCATGATGATCAGGACACTGTTCCCCATGATGATCAAGGACACTGTTCCCATGATGATCAGGACACTGTTCCCATGATGATCAAGGACACTATTCCCATGATGATCAAGGACACTATTCCCATGATGATGGACACTGTTCCCATGATGATCAAGGACACTGTTCCCATGATGATCAAGGACACTGTTCCCTAACGATGGACACTGTTCCCATGATGATCAAGGATTCTGTTCCCATGATGATCAAGGACTCTGTTCCCATGATGATCAAGGACACTGTTCCCATGATGATCAAGGACACTATTCCCATTGTGATCAAGGACACTATTCCCATGATGATCAAGGACACTGTTCCCATGATGATCAAGGACACTATTCCCATTGTGATCAAGGACACTATTCCCATGATGATCAAGGATACGGTTCCCATGATGATCAAGGACACTGTTCCCATGATGATGAAGGACACTGTTCCCCTGATGATCAAGGACACTGTTCCTATGATGATCAAGAACACTATTCCCATGATGATCAAGGACACTATTCCCATGATAATGAAGGACACTATTCACATTATGGTCAAGGACACTATTCCTATGGTGATCAAGGACACTGTTCCCATGATAATGAAGGACACTGTTCCCCTGATGATGGACACTGTTCCCATGATGATGAAGGACACTACTCCCATGATGATTAAGGACACTATTCCCATTATGTATTCATAATAAAAGTGATCTTGAGCAAAGAAATCAACATCCTCTACCAATTTTCTTTAGAATTAGATCTCAAGATAAATATTTTCAAAACAGAAACTATGATCTAGAATTGGAATGAAATCAATGTGAAATTAATAGGTACTAAACACGACAAATGATTCGGTGTCTGGATCAGTTAAGCAAGGAGATAAGGAAATTTAATATAGAATCGGCTGCTCTAGAAGTAGTTTTGCTCAACACTGCAAGTTGTTACAGCGACAAAGCATTAAGCTAAAAAAATCGAGTCATTTGTTTAAATAGTCTCGGCATGACTCCAAATCCGTTTAGAAAATATCTTAACTGTCAAGTGTATATCATCGCTTTATCAATGATTAAAAATGACTTCCAACAATTGAAGCCTGTAAGTTTTATCGATGGTAATCCTTCTTCGACGCTAGTTGACTGGCTCTACAGAATCACAAGCAAATATAACAGAAACCATATCACTTGCGGACTTTCCCCAACTAAACAACTAAAATGAATAGCAAATGGAACTCGAAGAGAAAATATTAACATAATAAAGAATTTAATGTTCCACAATATTTCAAATAAAATGTTAGGAATGAAATTCCCGTCAATACTGGAAAGATCGATAACAGCTACTGGATTTGAGAAATCTGATTTTCTGAAAAAAATTGTTTTAATAAAAAGTTCTATAAATTTCAACCGCGTGTAACTGCTCTTTCAATGAATGCCGAATGTTTCCTTAATTGGAAACAGCTAATGTTAGCAATTCCAATCTTCCGAATAGAGAAGGATTAACAGCCTTGAGAATCACCATTGTAAAACCTCTTTCAACCATCCTGGGTATGACAATAAACTATATCCAGGTCATAGATAAGACGATGAACTGCGTCCAACAGCGGGGCCTCTGGACGGGAGGTTTTGAGGGGTGTGGAGCCGCCTCTTGGTTGCTGGTGTATAGCATGTCCGCCCTAACCCGGGAAGCAGGGGGAGGCGTTGGCACCAGTTGGGTTGCCAACTGCGGGCAAGTGGTTGACCCCCGAACTGGGGTCGAAACACTATGAAAGTGTACAAATAGGTTTTAATAGCAGCAATAAATTTTTTGAGGAAAAACTACTACCCGTGATAGATTTTTGAAAAAAAAAATATTACCAGCTATACATTTTTTAAAAATATTACTAACGCTACATTTTTGAAGCAAAAAATAGTACTAGAAATAGATTTTTGTTGGAAAATATTACAGCAATTGTTGGCATTAAATAACCCATTGTGGTTGATATGCCGTAAAACAAACGAAACCAAATCCCCGTTTCAAGCACCGGCCTATGTCATTGTTGGGTAATACGTAATTACTAAACCTAACAAACCGTGTTTGCGAGACAAGTACTTCATCTATGCTTACCCCAACAAGGATTTAAATATCACAGCGTAATATTTTTATGATTGTCAGCAAGAGAGAAAGACCCAAGATGCAAACTACGAATTGGTAATGTCAGAATAAAAGAAGCAGAAGAGAAGTGCCTTAACAGAGGATAAAGAATTTGACACACTGAAATCCCCCCCCCCACAAAAAATAAGCAAATTAAAATTAACAGAAAAATGCCGTTAAAAACAAAGAAAGTGTTCTGAACTGCTATGTAATATCAATCCTCCTATATGGCAATAAATTCTGGACCTCTTCACAGATGAAGAAGTGAATACTGGCGACAGCAGAAATGTGGTTCTACAGAAGGATGCTGAGTATACCATGCACGGAACATGTAAGCAACGATGAAGTTTTAAAGCAAAATGCAAACAAAACGGTCACTTATACTCACAATCAGAAGCGGTGCTTTTCTCGCTAGAACGTTTACGACTGAGTAGTGGGTTCAATCCTCACCGGGTACCCCATACATTCGGCCTTGTGCCACATCTAAAATACGCTTGGAAAATCGCTATACTCACAATCAGAAAGAGATAGCTGGTACACGAAATGAAGAAAGAGGGCTTGGAGAATTCGACACTCATAGGACATATCGAAAGCAAAAAAATACAAGGGAGGGGAAAACAGCGGGCCAACTATGTGACCAACTTCTATAAATGGATACCAGAACGAGGAATTGGAGGGCCGGCAAAAAGAAAAATATTGCCAAGAACTGCAAGGTTGTGGAGAACCATGATCACCCACGTCCTGAAGGGACATGTTTACATAGAAGAAAAAACAAAAAAAAATCTCTAAATTCAGTGCATTAAAACCATAAGAGCTTAAGTAACTAAAATGAACAAAGAAGTTCGGTTGAAGTGGAAGATTTTTTCACAAAAATATTGAATGCGTAAAGTTCTTGAAAACTGACGTTAAAGACGTTTTTTTTTCTATTTTTCATCAAATGAATATAAATTCGAAAACAGATAAATAACAACGCCATAAAATTCCAAATGATAAGAATTCACGACACTCTTATTCCAATTCGCTTGTAGAGTTTTTGTTTGACAAATTCCACAGGCCGCTGCTTACTTTCATTTATTTTATTCTCTCTCTCATTCGTTTTTCTCTTTTATCTTTTAGCATTTTAAATCGTTATTTTTATCTTCCATTTTCCCCTTTCCTAGTTTTTTTTTTTTTTTCTCTCTATGCAGAAAGAATTTTTTTTTCTTTTTTAGTGAGGCTGCATGTCCATACATGGGATTCAATTTAGTCATAATGGATCTTCAAATTTCGTCAGAATGTTACATGTAAAAGTTACTCCGAAAAACATGTTTTGGAATATTACTTAAACACAAAAATATCTGATTGATTTTACTTCTTATTCACACCATCAGTCTATATTTTATGGGCACCTCTACGTGATCACTGCATGTCTTATTCTTTCGGTCTTCCGCCACGCCTAAGATAAGCTTAGAAAATCACCGTACTGTCTATATTTTATGGGTACTTTTACGTGATCAAATGGTTAGCGAACTTGGCCTGTTAGAACCATTACGGCTGAGTAGTGAGTTCGATCCTCACTGAGTGTCTTGTGCCACGCCTAAGATAAGCCTAGAAAATACCATGAATGTCTATATTTTTTAACCCCTCTACGTGATCTTATGGTTAGCAAGCTTGTCCGGTTAGAACAATTACGGCTGAGTAGTGAGTTCGATCCTCACTGAGTGTCTTATGCTTTCAGTCTTGTGCCACGCATAAGATACGCCTAGAAAATCACCGTACTGTCTATATTTTGTATATGTAAATCATTTACTGAAACCAGAAACCAAACAATTCATCGAAATAATAAATATTTGATAACTAAATGTGCAGCCATCTTATAGTGAATCAAGCGTTTTAATGCTATAATCAAACCATATAAAACTTATACGTCATTACTTCACTCAGGATAGGTCTGTTCATTGTTAAACGAAACAGCAGAAGGATTTATCTAAGTCAGTTCTTCCTAAACCTTTTTTTTTTCAGAACCGCATTTTTGGAATGAAAAATTTTCGCACCTTACCAAAGGGAATTTCACGGTGAAAAAGCCCAAACAGTCCTGCCGCAAAGAAGGTCCCGAGAGAGTTTTAAAGGGAGATAACCACGAATTTGAAGTCAGAACATTATCATTGATAACTCTCTCCTCCAATTTGTGGACCCTACCTACTATATTCTTAATACTTGATATAATGTAAAAATATCTCAATGATAAAATTAGTCAATAATTATTTATAACTATTTCTACTGAGACTCATACATGCAATTACAAGTAATCCATAATAATATTTAAAATTTTTAAATTATATTTATTTTTGGTATTATTAATTTACAAGTATGCAAATCTGCAGCAGAAAGATCGTACTGCGCCAAACCTACACATCTGAACAGTAGTTCCCAAACAATTTTAGGCCGTATTTTCAAAATGAAATTTTCCTCGCACCCCACCAAACTTTATGCGATAAATGTACTTTTAAAATTAAAAAAAAAAAACAGACAGAGGTTTAAAGGGAGATAACCAAGGATTAGATGTTGGAACATTATCATTGATTACTCTTTCCTCCAATTACAAACCCTAGTTACTAAATTCTTAATACTTGATATAATGTAAAAATATCACAATAATAAAATTGGTAAATAATTACTTACTATTTATACTTGGATTCATGCGATTACAAGTAATACATAATAATATTTAAAATTTTCAAATCATTTATTTTTGTTATATTAATTTTTGAAACTATTTCTAAATCTTTGATTGTCTTTCACTCATTCTATCCTCTTCCGCCTCACCTGCTATCCTCTTCCGCCTCACCTGTTATCCTCTTCCGCTTCACCTGATATCCTCTTCCGTCTCACCTGCTATCCTCTTCCGCCTCTCCTGCTGTCCCTCCTCTTTCATCTGTTATCCTCTTTTCCTCGTCCGCCTCATCTGTTATCCTCTTCCGCCTCATCTGTTATCCTCTTCCGCCCTCACCTGCTATCCCTTCCGCCTCATCTGTTATCCTCTTCCCTCACCTGCTATCCTCTTCCGCCTTACCCGCTATTCTCTTCCGCCTCATCCCTTCCGCCTTATCTGCTATCCTCTTCCGCCTCATCTGTTATCCTCTTCCGACTCACCTGCTATCCTCTTCCGCCTTACCCGCTATCCTCTTCCGACTCACCTGCTATCCTCTTCCGCCTTATCTGTTATCCTCTTCCGCCTTATCTGTTATCCTCTTCCGCCTCACCTGCTATCCTCGTCCGCCTCATCTGTTATCCTCTTCCGCCTAATTTTTATCCTCTTCCGTCTCACTTTATCCTCTTCCGCCTTATCTGTTATCCTCTTCCACCTGCTATCCTCTTCCGCTTACCTCTATCCTCTTCCGCCTCATCTGCTATCCTCTTCTGACTCATCTGTTATCCTCTTCCGCCTCACCTGCTATCCTCTTCTGCCTCATCTGTTATCCTCTTCCGCCTCATCTGCTATCCTCTTCCGCCTCATCTGTTATCCTCTTCCGCTATCCTCTTCCTCTTACCTGCTATCCTCTTCCGCCTTACCCGCTATCCTCTTACCTCACCTGCTATCCCTTCTTCCTCACCTGATCCTCTTCTGCCTCATCTGTTATCCTCTTCCCTGCTATCCTCTTCATCGTCTTACCTGCTATCCTCTTCATCTGTTATCCTCTTCACCTGCTATCCTCTTCCGTCTTACCCCTTATCTGTTATCCTCTTCCGCCTTATCTGTTATCCCCTTCCGCCTCACCTGCTATCCTCTTCCGCCTTATCTGTTATCGTCTTCCGCCGCACCTGTTATCCTCTCTCCACTCACCTGCTATCCTCTTCCGTCTCACCTGCTACCTCTTCCTCGGCACCTATGAGGCGTGCCACACCGTTTGGGACACCACTGTTCTAAGTAGTGAGACAATCAACCATAAGGAGAGGAGGCAGATCTTTCATGTCGGGCTGCTGTTGATAACAGAGATTTTATATTCAAATAAAGATACACGTTTATTTTTTCAAATAAAACAAGATTTAATATGGCCACCATTTTCAGCTCCATTTCAAACAATGAACTAAAGTGTTTCCGAAAAGTTTCAAAGCTCAACAGATAAAATGTTTTTTTGAAAAACGAATAACGATAAGTTTTATTGATAAATAAATCCAGATAAGCGGATAAGTAAGGTTCGCATACCATCAGAATGAATGTCGAAATTTCGGAGAGAAAGCGGTTGTAACTGTAATTTGTAATTAATTTTTTTTTTTTTACTTAAATCGGGATAATTTATTATTGGCTGAAATTCATTCTTATTTTTCAGCTAGAAACTATGTATGAGCCACCTGTGCAAATAACTGTTTTTGTTCATTTCTGTTTTAGCCATGGAAACGTTAACTTCCTTCCGGGTTTTGTTCACAACACATTTTTGGTTGATTATGTAGTTTTTTGGATTTCCTAACAAGTGGGCAATGGAATGCAAGACCGACGTCTTAACCTCATACGTTGCAGTCTGAGTTTTCTATTGATTTTTTTAATCGAATTCACCCCAAGCAAGGCAGTAAAGCCACTGAGACGTAAGGGGTTACTAAGAGCTAGAAACAGTAATATTTCTAAGAAGCGAGTAAGCAGGAAGAGAAATCAAGAGGACAGTAGATAGCTATTGGTATTGCATTTAATTTTTTGTAAATTAAAGTTGGCTGGAAATCATGGATCCGGAAGGGTGTTCAACGAGCGAGAAGTGCGAGAAAAGAAACTGTTAGCATATATAACTTACGGTTACATCTATCCAGCTGAACTGTAAATTGGTAAGACCCCGCCGCTAGTCTAGTAATTAGTTATGTGCCATGTGTGATACACGCTTAGGCGATCATGTATCTTTCGTTGCATGACTTACGAGGCAGATTGTTTCCCAGCATTAGGTTGCCATTTCTTTCTGCGGTAGACCAGTTGCCATCCAAGACTATAGAACCCGGTCGGTCCTGCTATTTACCCATAGCTAGGGGGAGAAGAAAAGGATTCATACCTTTCGCAAGGGTTATTAGCACATAAGTGAATGTAATGGATTCAACTGGAATTCGAACTCGGCTCTCCGATTCCTCAATCCGAGCCGCTAGACATTACTCTACCGTGCGCTTAAATTCGAAGTATCTAGTTACCTTAGTGAAGAGATCATCCGAATATCTGTATTAAGAGGAATCGTTTACTTATTATTGTATATTCTGATTATTTTTGGCACTATTGTTCAGCGCAAAAAAGCTCCAAGAGTCACTGCAAGTTACTTAATGGGGAGGGGGGTTCATGGGCGTAAGAGTTCTTCATTATGTGGATATTCAAGTTGGAGGTTAAGATCGTAGAGATCGGGGAATCATCCTCTTGTGAGTCTGTTCCAAGAAAAAAAATGGCTCTTGGGAAGAAGCTGTCCGAATGGAACTTCATTGTTGCTAAAGGAATAAGAATGGAATGAGGATGGTTCGCTGCTATATATATGGTGTGGCGGGTCATAGCTGTAAAGGTCTGAACTGGCGGAACTAGGGACTGTCGCTGGTCAGAATATTTTCTATAAATATCTTCATAGTAATTGTTCTGATGAACTTTCCTCTTTGGTACCTCGACATTACGAATTTAAGCGCAGTACTCGATTGGCAGCTAGGCCTCATCATTTTACGGCTGAAATGGCTGCTAGATGTAGCCGTAAGTTCTATGCTAATAGATTCTTCTCTCAAACTTCTCGCCTGTGAAATTCTCTTCCGGTTTCTTGCATTCAAGTCAACTTTTACCTTCAAAAATTTAAATGAAATGCCTTCTTAATTCCTCTTCTTTTATTGTTCTCTCTCCTTAATAACGCTTTACTTTTTCTCGTATCCTTTCACACTCAGTAACTCCTTGTGCTTTAGTTGTTTTATTGCCTTGCTTGGGGTGAAATGGTTAATAAAAATTACATGGGAAGAGCGATAGAGATTTTTTGAGTTATTAATTCAAAATGAATTTCCCAATTTCTTCAGCAAAAGGTAAATTCTGATATTTTTTATAGGAAAGCTTATCCACTGGACCCCTAATATAGTTGAGTTTTACATGGACTCGACCGTTTGCATATTTATGTGTACGTGTGTGCATATGTGTGGGGTGTATGTGCATGTGTGTGTGGGCGTATGTGTATATGCTTTGGTGGGGTGTGTATGGGGAGAGTATGAGTATGTACGTATGTAGGAGGCGTATGTGTATGTGCACGTGTGTGTCTATACAAGAAATTATTTAATTAAAAACAGATGAGATTCTATCTTATTCTTTTATTTGCCTTTTATGAGCGATTATGACTCTCCTCCATTTCCTACCATTTATAGCTGTTGTAACCTAGAAAAGGTTACTGAGTGGGGAATAACCAAAACGGAGGTTGGAAATGAAAATGGTAATCTTTATAACATCAACAAAATACAATACTCGCCAGCGGCGTGAAATAGGTAAACCACTGCTAGTAGTGCACTACTTAGACAGCATATTACCCCCACTTACAATAGTGTCCAACGTATTTATGAGGATTGGGACATGCCCATTAGTGTTCATAGGTAAGGATACACCTAATTTTATAACATATAAAATAGCTCGAAGCAGGGAAGAATGATTGTTCCTGCCCGACTGCGATTTATCTATGCAGGAACCCCCAAACTCTCTGTCTATTCTTTGTTTCCCCATTAACTAACTTTAGGGTGGTTAACAATTCAATGATTGCTGATTCTCCCCAGTCTCTGCTAATCTTGACTTTAATATGACCTGTGAGTATAAAATTCTCCAATCCCTCTTTCCTCATTATATGCATAAAGTTAATGTGTCCTGAATTATAAATGTCCTTCTTGTTTCTATTTTCCTTAACACTTATTCCTTGCTCATATGTTCCGTCCTTGGAATTCTCAGCATCCTTCTGTGGAAGCACATTTCTGTTGCCTCAAGTCTTTTATTCATCTGTGAGGAAAGTGTCCACTATTCACTGTTATATAGGAGCATTACATATTACATAGCAGTTGAACTTTATTTTCTTTGTTTCTAACGAAATTTTCATGTTTCTTAATACTTTGCTTAGCTTTTGAAAGGCACCTTTCGTTATTTCAATGGGCTTTTGGATTTCGGTGTCACACTTTTCATCCTCTCTTAAAACACTTCATACACATTCAATTTTGTTTTTTTTTTTGGTTTTTTTTCACGTCGCAGTTCGCCTCTTGTGTTTTTTCGTTTGGCTGACAACCATTCATTCTGTCTTCTTATAATTGATTGTTAGTCCTTTCTTCTCACTTTATTTACTACTTTCTGTAGAAGTTCCTGTAGTTTCTTTTTCGTTTCTGTTATCAGCATTGTTATTCGCATCTCTTGTGTTCTTAAGATTGTGCTCGCCAATAATGAATCCTGGGAGGACTTCTAATTCTCTAATTATCGTCTCACTGTAAAGATCGAATATATCCGGCGAGAAGACCCAACCTTGTCTTACGTCCCTTTCTATTTTTGTGTATTTACTGAATTCATTTAATCCGGTGTGGAGGCGGTTTTCTCCCAGTACAGGTTCTGGATTATTCTTGCTGGTTCCAATATGGGGAATGACTACTACCCCACTCAATCTCCAAAATTATAGACAAATCTTACAGATGAATGCTGGTATTTTTTCATTAACTATAAAAATGAACAATTCTCATTCTTGCCAAACATCTTTTCTTTCCTTATTTATAACGATAACTATAAACACTTGACTGTATCCCTTTTGCAAGTGCACACTATTTCTATTTGGTGAACGTTTTCCTTTCTGACTGTCTTATATTTGCTTTGCTTTACATTGAATTAAAATGTCTTGTCTGTTTTGCAATTTTCTTCGTCTTTTCCTCTTATTTCTTTTGAGAATTTTGTCAGTTTCGCTTCCTCATGGCCTCTTATCTAACAACTCTAATATATTTTACAAATAAATCATTACCTCGCATTTCAAATATTTCAAATGTGTCGTAATATATCAAAGGGGTGTATTTTATGTAGTGTCATTGGTACTAACTTTGCAACAAAACGGTTCACCCTGCTTTAAATTGGGATGCGAAACAATACTGGCTCACGGCATACTCTCACACATGTCTCCAAGAAGTCGCTTGGACACAGCGACGGCCACACTCCGGTCAGCAGCATCAATCTGCCGGCTAAACTGCAGGTAGTCGGAAGGGTTTCCTTGTCCAACCAGTGAAGGAAAACGCCTCTCCCCAACGCACGTGAACCAAGCGGCCATCGGCGAATCGCCAGCCTGAGCATAGGAGCCTCGACTCAGAGATCAACGGCTTTACTAGCGGGCGGAGAAACTTTTGAGTGGACTGACGAGGTAACCTCCACATCCCCAGTACAAAAGAAATCGGCCAGACATTGCACTATTTTGCCTTGAATGTAACGATGAACCGAAACTATGAAGGAGTAGTGACCACAGCGGCGCAACATGCGCTAACTAAATTGAATAAATGAAGAATGAATGAATGTCAAAAAAAATTGCCTAATCTATAAAACATAGATACACAGGGTGGTCTGAAAGTCTTGTCACCTCTTACATAATATAATTTTATGCTTCAGATGACTGGAAGTTTGGAAGAGAGGCTGCTTGCAAGTGCACGGATACATGATCGTGTGTATTCTGGCATGAGCAGCGAGGATGTGCGACGAGACTTCACTGCAAGATTCAGCAAACCAGCTCCTCCGAAGAGGATGAACATAAAAGCTGTTTCTTACAGGATCAATTAAAGGACAAAACCAAGGACAGGACAACCCCCAACGTGAAGGGACACATGTGCAAAGGCGGAAGCATCTGTGCTATGATCACCCAAGATGTCACTACGAAAATGGTCTTCCGAGCTAGGAATTCCCAAAACCACAAGGTTTAAATATAAATTAGTACACCGTGACTACGTACAAACTCGAGGGTGGTCTATTTCAGACGGCTGTCACAAGCTCCTGCAGTTTGGAAGAGAAGCTGCTTGTGTATGGACACGATCATGTGTCCATTCTGGCAACAGCAGGGAGGATATGCGACATGACTTCATTTCGGACCACCTTGTACCTCTTTCTGCATTGGTATTTCGAATTCCAGTCGAATTCATTACATTAACTTACGTGCTGTAACCTAGGGAAATGTATGACTCCTCTTCTTCTCCCCCTACCTATGGGTAAATAGCAGCACAGACCGGATTCTACAGCCTTGAATGGCAACTGGTCTACCATAGAAAGAAATGGCAACCTATGGGGAAAAATCTGCCTCGTCAGTCATGTATCGAAAGATACATGATCGCCTAAGCGTGTATCACGCATGGCACATAATTGACTGACTAACTGACTTTCCAGTCGAATCCATTACATTCACTTACATGCTAATATCCTTGGGAAAGTTAAGAATACTCTGCTTCTCTCCCCAGCTATGGGTAAATAGCTGGACAGACCGGGTTCTATAGCCTTGGATGGCAACTGGTCTACCGCAGAAAGAAATGGCAACTTCTTGCAGGAAAAAATCTGCCTCGTCAGTCATGTATCGAAAGATACATGATCACCTAAGCATGTAACACGTATGGCACCTAACTGAGTGACTGACTTTCCAGTTGAATCCATTACATTCACTTACATGCTAATACCCTTGGGAAAGGTATGAATCCTCTTCTTCTCCCTATGAGTAAATAACAGAATGGCAACTGGTCTACCGCAGAAAGAAATGGCAACCTACTGCGGGGAAAAAATCTGCCTCGTCAGTCATGTATCGAAGGATACGAGATCGCCTCAGCGTGTATCGCGCATGGCACATAACTGACTGACTGATTGCTCTTTCCGATACGGATATAAAATCTTTAAGTCATTTTATAATCAGCTGATTAGAATTAAGTAAAGAGTTAATTGTGTAGTTTACTCTGTGTGAATGAATGGTATGTAAGTCAGTCTGAATCATCGAATGAAAATAAGGCCATATTAATAAATAAAAAAAAAACACTCCAAGATTTTCTGGACATTTCTTGCAGACATATGTGTGTGTGCATCTGCATCTTCTCTCCGTACATTTGTTATAATATGTATATATCTTTTGTTTAATATTTTTACATGTGTATCTTTCTACATACATAAGCGTTTATATGTGTGGATGTGTGTACGTGTTATGTTCATTCTGAATGTTTGGGCTCCTTTCGCTCGGAGGTAGAGCTGAAACTCAAAGCAGACATTTTTATATATTGTTCAGAAAAACAATTTCTGCAACAATTGATTTTTTCGCAAATATGAGAGAGACGGAAGAGGGGAAGACATGGGAGAAGAGGAGAGATAATGACGGAATAGAGAGAGTGTGGGGGGAGATAAGGAAGGTAAAAGGCAGAAGGGAGGGAGAGAAAAGATGAGAGAGGAATCTTATTAATAATATTTAATAATCTTTTAATATTTTTTATTTAATTTCATTTTCGATTTTCATCATCCAATTACTTTTCCGTTTTGTCATTTTGCGAAAGAGAGAAGAAAAATTAACGAATAAATAAAAAAAAATCATGAAACAGATACAATAATGAATAAATAAAGGAATGAACCAATGAAAACAAAAAGTGGAAAAGCTTTTGAAATTGTTTTTTCTATTTTAAAATTTTCATTAAAAAGAGATGTTTTCTCCTCACACTTTCATTATTGTCCTTGTAATTGTCATCAGAATGATTCAGTTTATTAGCATCTTTATTTGAGTTTAGAACATCATCATTAACGTTGTCATTATTATAATAACTTAATTTTGTTTTTTCATTTTACAGCAGGGAAACACTACGTCAACACATGGCGTATTGCTTTTCTATCGAGCTTGGAAATTTTTGAAGGAGTGAACACTTCATAAAAATCATGTTTGGCTTAGCCCAGAAAATACCCCTTTGACTCGGACCAATTAACAAAATTGTGAAACCTACGAATTTTGAAGTTATCTTTATTCCTGAGTCTATTTAAGTCGATCTACAGTCCTACTTAAGTGTCTGTTACCTTCAAAATTTAGGCAATCATTGCTCTCCTCAGCTTCCCTTTTTAAATATCTGTAAACGGTGCTCTCTTATAATTGCTCAGCGTAAATTAAGCAAGTTAGTTTGCACCAACTAGATTAGTTCAGATAAACGCGATTATTCCAAGCGACAAGATGAGCTCATATTAACCTAATAAATTAAAACTATCTCTATAATTTATTCTGAGGATTATCTCAAACGAACCAGATGAATCTGAACTAAGCGAATTATACTTAAATAACCATAGTTAAAAGATTAACTGAAACTAATCGGGTTATTATGAACTAACCAAATTAGAACAAATAACGTGGTTAACTCGAACCAGTTAACCCAAACTACATTGATATCAAATGACAGGATTACTTCAGATTACCCAGAGTAATCCGATCTAGCCAGATTATACCAGGTAATGGTAATAGCAGGATCTTATCAGATTATACCAAAATACAATAGTAGTCTAAAGTAACAGGATTCATACGAATTAAGAGAAATTTATCTTAACTAACATCTTTTTTTTTTTTAGATAAGTGATTATCCAAGTATTATAGTCATCGTTTTCGTTTAGAATATTGCAAAAATAAAACGCCTAAAATTGCCACATCGGTGCAAGAGAATGTAATGTCCTAGCAAGGCTAAAAAGCCATATACGCGTTGCTCTTATATAGACCAAGTGAAGGGATTTTCCAAGCGTAGCTTGGATGTGGCACAAGGCCGAAAGTAAGGGGCACCCAGTGAGGATCGATCTCACTACTCCTTCGTAATAGTTCCAGCGAGACTAGCTTGCTAACCATTACACCATCTCGAGGTGCCCAAGATTTTCCAAGCGTAGCTTAGATGTGGCACAAGGCCGAAGTATGGGGCATCTAGTGAGGATCGAACTCACTTTTCAGTCGTAACTGATCTAGCAAGACAAACTTGCTAACCATTACACTACACCGTGAAGTGAAGGGTATTGCTCGAAATGGAATCAAAGGAATCATATATATATATAGAGAGAGAGAGAGAGAGAGAGAGAGAGAGAGAGAGAGAGGAGTGTGCGCGCGCGTGTGTGTGTGTGTGTGTGTGTGTGTGTGTGTGTGTGTATAAACAGTGCAGATAATGAAATCAACCAATTTCTCTTCTTAAAATAATAATAGGCCGGTGAAAGATGTTCGAGAGATAAAAAAAAAAGCCACAAAAATAATAGAATCGAAAATACTGAAAATAAACCTAATAATATTTATTGCATATTAGTGAGACATTTGGTCAAACGGAGGCATGATAAGTATTTTCAGACACGCCTGTGTCCTTTATCAAGTAGACAAGAAATAAAAAAAAAATAAAAATGAAGTGGGACTTCCTTTTCCGGTAAATTTTTCAGTGTAGATAATGAAATCAACACTGCATAATAACGTACAATTTCACTGCAAATTTTAAACCACACACACACACACACACACACACACACACAAACACATTTATATATATATATATATATATATATATATATAAAGAGAGAATTAGAGAGTAGCTGCGCTCGACTGAGTCTAGTTAGTTGCTTCTTCGTCACCAAGGCTCGTTGGTCCAGTGGTATGACGCTTGTATTGTGTTGTGGACGTGACTGCTGAGGAGTCCCAAAAAGAAAGAAACGGCCGTTCAGTGCTTTCTTCTAGACTCGATGAATATATATATATATATATATATATATATATATATATACATGCACACAACTTGCACAATAATATTTGCAACCTCTGCCAACAGGAAAAATTAGCAATAATGAATAATGACATTTTCGGATCAAAAAAAGAACTTTTCAAGCAGAAATCCGATATCATGAGCCCTTGCATACAAAAATATCCTCTTAAGCTCATATGAGGCTGGTTAAAAAGTATGTACATTTCAATTAACCCCTCCAACGATGCATTTATAATACCCTTGTTTTTCTCCTCCTTCCCATCCTTCTTTTTCTCTTTTCTTCTTCGCATCCTCCTCTTCCTTTTCTGTGACACCCAACGAATCCATTACATACACTTACGCGCTAATACCCTTGGGAAAGGCATGAATCCTCTTCTCCCTCCATCTATAGGTAAGTAGCAGGACAGACCGGGTTCTATAGCCTTGGATGGCAACTGGTCTACCGCAGAAAACATCTACATCGTCAGTCATGTATCAAAAGATACATGATCGCCTAAGCGTGTATTACGCATGGCATATAATTGACGGATATGTAATTAAATTCACGTCTCCTTTTTAACAAGTTATTGTCCTTTTGATACTGACTTTTAGGCATCATTGCTTGAATTTCAAATTACATGAGGTCTCTATTGTTAAATTGTTGTTGATTATCTATCATGCACATTTCATGTTCATATTTGGTGTGTCTGGTGATTATCACTAAAGGCTGACATAATCATCTGCAGCCTTTTCAGTATTCTTACAGAACCCAGGAACTTAGTGATTTGCAATGTCTCCATTGTACTGTCTAAATTCATCGCCTGTGTCTTTGCAATCGTTACATAGGCATTAACTATTACAATGAACATGAACCTTCGTTTAGTTCCATGTTGAAGTTCTCGCATTATTATTATTATTATTTCTTTCGCAAGGTTTTCTGTTTTAAACCGACCTTGCAGACTAATCAGCACCTTTTGCATTTCCAAGCAACGCGGACTTCTTAAGCGAGAGGACTTTATTCCTATTTTCTTAATGCACACAATCATCAGACAGCCAGATGATTGTGTGCAAGCACATGAAACTTATAGTAGTGGACTGTCACTGCCAAACTGTTTTTTAAATTAATATTGAAGCTCTGCCATTTCATATGGCATTGAGCACTTTATGCCGGTAGGCTATTTTTGTGCAGGTTCAGAGCTGCTTATTCTTTCCTGAATTTATATATATATATATATATATATATATATATATATATATTGAACAATAAAAAATATTAAAAAATTAAAATCTTCAGACACACTGGGTTGTAGATTAATATTCTTTCGTTTTTTATTATTTCATTTAGATTCCTCGACTAGTTTCGACCAAAATGGCCATCATCAGGAGAAAAATAATTTTCTGCTTGCTGGTAGCAGTGAACTACAGAAATGAATGTCTTGATGGAGAAAATGAACTTTTGCCTGTAGTTTTCATTTGTTTGTTTTTTTTTTAAATCTTTTTAACATGAATCTTTTAACATTCCTTGTGTTGGTCAAACAGACTCTTTTAAGTTGTTATTTGAGATAAGAGCTGCATGGATCTATGCTGCTCTGAATTCTCCTAGTCAGTTTGACAGTTTTATTGGTTCTGGAGAGGATGTGTCTACATATATATATATATATATATATATATATATATATATATATATATATATATATATTATCATTATTATTATTATTATTATAACTTTTTACTGATTTTGATTTATTAAATTATTATTCCCTTTTACTCTTTCCAGCCAACATCAATATTCTTGCCGTTATTGTTAGCATTATTGTAATTGTATTTGTTGATTCTATAGCTGTCATTATTATAGATTTTGTTGTTATTTTTTCATATTATTAATTTCACTTCGCTGGATTTTTTGAAATTTCATTAATCATTGTCGAATTTATTTCAGATTTTCATTTTTTGCATTCGCAAAATTTCTGCTTTTTATTCATTAGCTTTTCTCTCTTTTGTTTCCCATTTTCTTACTTCTTTTTTTTTTCTTAGCAATAACACCCCCTCCCCCGCCAGCTCTGGCCACCATTCGGTTTCTCATAGTCGCGATCTACGGCATCAGCCAATGTGCAATTCGCAAAACGATGTCGTTCAGTATACGATGCGCACGCATGTGCACTGGGCACGTAACGATAAGGCTGGTCAGTCTCATGAATGTCAATCTTCGATAAGATCGAATTTCTATCCATCTCCTTTCACTTCAACCTCCCTCTCTCTCTCTCCCTCTCTCCCTCTCTCTCCCTCTCTCTCTCTCTCTCTCTCTATCTATCTATGTATCTTTCTATCTCTCTCTCCCTCTCTCTCCCTCTCTCTCTCTCTCTCTATATATATATATATATATATATATATATATTTAGTTGGATAGATGACTGTTTGTGACCTAGGTTTCACGTGAAACCGATCGTCAAACTCACATCTATCCAACCAAATATGTTAGCTCTATCTCTGATATTGAGCGCTTTCTAATAAGTACCGCGCATATAATATATAAATAATTATACATATATATATATTTATTTATATTTATATTCACTTTTCACATATATATATATATATATATATGCCAAAAATGATAAAAATTTAGTTGTAAGGTATGATCTATTTATACGTAAATGTGCTCAATATAACTTATGAAAGATAAAAATTAAAACTTAAAAATAATATTAAAAATATAAATATACATAAAATATATATATAATATATATATATAAAATATAAAATATATATAATAAAATTATATATATATATATCACTGAAATATATAAAGAAATTATATTTAAAGAAATAATATATATATGCATCCTTCTTAGTTTCAAGCTTTTTATATATATATAATATGTAAGCAAATATATGGATATAGATCCGACAGTATGAAGAAAAATATATATGGAAAAAAACAAAACAAAAATCCTTATATACAATTATGCTGTTTTAATGTTAATATCACTGATATTATAAAACTTTCAGTTATTTGTTTGGATAAGTCTTGTTCTTATGTACATCGTCTTTGTCATGTTGTATTGATAATGTTATAATTTATGAATATGTCCTGAAGATAGTTTATTAGACCGAAACGTCAGACGTTGATATATTAACATTAAAACAGCATAATTGTATATAAAGATTTTTGTTTTGTTTTTTCCATATATATTTTTTCATATATATATATATATATAAAAAATAAAATATATATATATATATATATATATATATATATATATATATATATATATATATTATTTTAAGTTTTCCTTTCTTCTTCTCTAACACCCATTCTCTTCTGTGCCGTTCTCGTTACATTTTTTTTCTTTCTTTGTCTTTCTTTCTTTCTTTCTTTCTTTCTTTCTTTCTTTCTTTTGACTGTATTTTCTCCCTCTTACCGACCATCTTGCTACTCTCTCCCGCTTCTCCAATGCTTTATTTTTTCTTTCTTTCTTTTCTCCTCTCTCTATCTTTTTGACCTAATCCCTCTGTTCTCTCTTTTCTCTTCCCTTCCTTTTACTGTTCGTCATTTCCCTCCCTCATAATCGTCTTTATCTCTCCACTTGTCTCTCGACAATTTTTTTTTATTTTTGACTTCTCTCACGCAGACAGAGACTCTCTCCCTCCCACTCACTTGTTATATCCCTCTATTACTTTTTCGACACTCTCTCTTTATATCTCTGTACCGTTTCTATCTCCTACTCTCACCTTTTACTATAATCTCTTTCCATCCGTCTTTCTTTTCCACGTCATCTTTTTCTGAATATTCCCAGTCAATGTGGCTTCTTTCCCAATTTTAATATTCATTTTTTCCCATAGTACTTTTTTTTTTTTACTACTGTTTTAGTAGTTGTAACTAATTGTTATTGTTTGCTTATGGAGATGTTGACATTTCTTTTCCCGATTCGGGTAATTCATTAAAGATTTTTCTATCAAAGAAATTCTGGTTTTGCAAAATCAATTAAAAAAATGTTTGTTTCTTTTGGAATGTCCCTTGAGACTAAAACGAAATTACCTTCAGGGAATTATTGTCGCACGAAAAAAAAAATAACCTAATTCAACATTTACGCTACAAAAGGAAATTAATAATATTTTCCTTTGAAATGAAAAATAAAAAAAAGATTTTTTTTTTCGTTGAAATACATTGGATTTTTTTAGGAGGTCATTAAAAAGAAAAAGACATCAGTTCTCATAGTCAGCATCGTGGCATTCGTTGGATTGGGCGTAACAAACAATTTAGAAAGAGTCAACAACTGAACAGGATTTTATTCTGTTAAAAAAGTCATTAAGAATTTCTTTCTTTCTTTTCTTTTTTTCGTTCCTTCGTCCTTTTTATCTTTACATATTTCTTTTATCTCCTTTTTAATCTTTCTTTATTCTTTCTTTCTAACTTTTATTCTGATTTATTTCTTTCTGTCTTCTTTCTTTCATCCTTTCTTCTATCTTTTGATATCTTTTTCATTATTCATTCTTACTATCGCTCTTTCGTCTTTTCTGGACTTCTTTCTTTTCTTCTTATATTTCTTTTCATTTTTCTTTCTTTATTTCTTTCTACTTGCTTTTTCTGTTTTCTTTCGTTCTGTCTTTCCTTTCATGTTTCGTTCTTTCTATCTTTCTGATCGCCTTTCTGTTTTCTTTTTTCTTCTTCTTCTTCTTCTTCTTCTTCTTCTTCTTCTTTCTTTCATTCTTTTTATCTTTCTGGTCACCTTCCTGTTTTCTTTCTTTCTTTCTTTCTTTTAATTCTGATTTTTTTTCTCGAACTTTCTGTCTATCTTTATTTCTCCCGTTCTATTTACTTTACTTCTCTCGTTTTTTCGTCCTTTTTATTTTCCCTTCTTTCTTTCTATCCTTCATTTTCTTTTTCATTTCTTCTGTCTTCCATTTTTCTTTCTGTCTGTCACTCTGTCCTGCCTTCTATTATTCCTTGCTTTTCTTTCATTTGTTCTTTCGTTTTGTTTTTATACTTTTCTTTCTTTTCATTCTTTCATTTTCTTCTTTTATTATTCATTCATATTTCATATTGTCTGCCTTTATTCCTTCATTCTCTTCATTCTTATCTTTCTGTCATTCTTCCCTTGTTTTTTTTTTGGGGGGGGGTTTCATTCTTCCATTGCTTTGGTCTAATCAGGTTTGGATTGAGAGCCCCTCTCTTAATAACGCTTGTGTTCATTCCTAACCCCTGACTAAACTTTCGTCCCTAATTTTCAATATATTTCTATCGTAAAATAATACCATACATGTACATCAAACATGTAGCAGAGCCTTATTCACTCAGCAACATTTGCATTCATTCATGGCGCTTATTATCTCTTGACTTTCAATCTTCAACGCAAAAATCGAATATGCCTGGACTTAAACTTCAGGTAAAAAAATGTAAAAATATGAAGTGTTTCATTATCAGAAAAATAACTGACTTCTCCAATGGGCTATCTTCCTTCCAGACGTAGGTGATCATGAGTCTCCACAACATCCTACCCCGTATAGTTCTTAGATACATTTGTCGTTTTACTATCCTTCTTACTCTCTGTTTTACCGTTCATTCACACAAGCACATCAGGTAAGCCGCCTGCTGCATCCCTTGTCACTTTTGCTTTCAATATGTCCTATGTGTTTCACATTCTCTAAGCCCGCATCCTCGTTTTGTATTCCAGAAACTTAAAACTTGCTTACGCGTTCTATGCATACTAATCTCATCATCCTCCTACAGAGCCACATTTCTGTTGCCTCCCCCTCCCAGTTTTCTCTTCATCAGTGAGAAGATTGCCCATTATTCGCTGCAACATAGGAGGATTGATATTACATAGCAGTTCCACATATATTTCCTTGTTTCTGGCGAAATGTTCCTGTTTCTTTGTGTTCGTGCGGAAAATGGTTGAACGATATCATTGATACAGAAAATAGGATCATCAGACATACAAAAAGATAGATAGATAGATAGATAGATAGATAGATAGATAGATAGATAGATAGATAGATACTATAATATGTGGGTATCGTATATTTTACAGTCATGTATTTAAAGTACAGAAAAGAAGGGTTACATGCCTGATTACCTTAAAATCAAAATCCTTTTCTCCAAAAAGGTCTTCCGAGGAAAAGACGAGAAAACATCACACGATAATTCTACTTGTTCCTTCATTAATTAGTAAGCTAGTTGGCTCGTGCGTTTCGCCATGCCATTACCTCAGATAAATAATGGACCACTTCGTTTTGATTGCGAGGAAAGGCTCAAGAAAAGGATAAATAAAAGACGCTTTTTGGTTCTAGGGGAGAGAAGAAACCATACATAATAATAAGAAAGAAAGAAAATGAAGAGGTAGGAGGCGATAACACTCTCATAAATGTAACGTCTGCTTCAGCGAAATAAAAAAAACCTTGTCATTTTTAAATGTTTTCATTTGTACCCTCTTACTTCTTTAAATAATGAACTGCATTCATACTTATGATTGTTATTGCAGTTTTTTATGTTAAGCCAAATATTTCACGATGCAATAGGCGGGAATTTTCACAGCTAATTTCTCCTCGTAGAATTCGCAAGGAGTTTATTCAATCATGAACTGGGAATTATGATTCATCAGAAAATTCAAACAGGAAAACAGTGAACTATTCCCGGCTACTTTTACAATTAAAATCATCTCCCGTTTGCTTTAGTAATTAGTCCTGACTCCTTCTAATAAACGATGCTCAAGTGAAATTGACTATTTTTGTTATAAGTTCAGGAATTTAATATAAACAACAGAATTCAATGAAAATTATTCTTTAAAAAGTTAAGTAGACCTATTGACGTTGGTTTTCTAATTTCAGTAATATAATTTTTATTTATGTTTTTATATTTACACTTTTAAGTAAAAAAAAAACTAAGTCTGGAGTCAAAAATTTTTATAAAAAATGAAGATTCAGATTTTCAATACATTTCTAACGTAAAATATACATGATTTTGCGTGTAATGACAGTTAAAATATTCAGCAGTGGGTGTTAAACATGCAGCACAGCTTTATTCACTCAGCAATATTTGCATTCATTCATGGTGTAGGTGATCATGAGTCTCCACAACATCCTACCCCGTGTAGTTCTTAGATACATTTGTCGTTTTACCATCCTTCTTACTCTTTGTTCTAACATTCATTCACACAAGCACATCAGGTAAGCCGCCTGCTGCATCCCTTGTCACTTTTGCCCTTAATATGTCCTATGTGTTTCACATTCTCTAAGCCTTCTTCCTCGTTTTGTGTTCCAGAAACTTAAAACTTGCTTACGCGTTCTAGCCATAGTATTCTCATCATCCGCATAATCTCCTTATGTTTTCATATTTGCACACTTATGTAAAAAAAAAATATATATATGCGGTTTGGTTTGGTTTGGTTTGGTTTACGGCATATCAGCCTGAATGGTTTATTTAATGCCGACAAAATTTTTATTGCTGGTAATATTTTTTTTTTCAAAAATGTATTGCTTGCAATATTTTTTCCTTCAAAAATCTATTTCTGGTAATATTTTTTCCTTCAAAAATCTATTCTGGTAATATTTTTTCCTTCAAAAAATCTATTTCTGGTAATATTTTTTTCTTCAAAAAATCTATTTCTGGTAATATTTTTTCCTTCAAAAATCTATTTCTGGTAATATTTTTTCTTCACAAATGTATTGCTAGCAATATTTTTCCCTTCAAAAATCTATTTCTGGTAATATTTTTTTTCAGAAATGTACTGCTGATAATAATGTATTGCTCGTAGTATTTATTTTCTTGAAAAATTTATTTCTGGTAATAATTTTTTACAAAGTATTTCTGGTATTACAACCTATTTTTACACTTTCATAGTGTTTTGACCCCAGTTTAGTGGATTAACTATTTGCATATAGCTGGGAACCCTAACAGGTGCTACCACCCTTGGTCAGGGTGGACCTTGGAACACCAGAAATTAAGAGGTGGTTCCATGTTCCTCAAAACCTCCTGATCAGAGGCCTTGCTGTTGGACGTAGTTTATCGTCTTACCCAGGAGGCGGACGTAGTTTATCGTCATACACAGGACGGATTAGGTCTGTAGTCAAAAATTAAAAAAAAAAACTGAAGATTTAGTCAAGTAACGATTTTTAGGGAAAGTAAATCTTGCAGAAGGAGAAGTGACATGCAAGGATTGAATGTGACTTTTAAGAAAGGAAGGAAGGAAAAGTGAATTGAAATTTACACAAGGGAGAAGAAAAAAGAGAGAATGTGGAGAAGAGATAGAGAATGTGAAGGAAGGAGAGAGAATGTGAAGAAAAGAGAGAGAAAGTGAAGAAAAGAGAGAGAAAGTGAAGGGAGATGGGAAAAGGACAATATGAATAAAGAGAAGAAATATTTGCTTTAATAAAGTCCCACAGAAACGCAACGGCTAATTTTTCTTCTCTCTTTATTCAATATGAGAAAAGAAAAAGAAAAAGAATAATGTAGAGGAAAAGAAAAGAAATAAAGCAGATAAAAAGAAAAATCAGCAAATGAAGAGAAAAAATAAGGCGAGAAAAGGAAGAGAAAATAGGGGAGAAGAGAAAAGAAAAAAAAAGAGAAAAGAGGGAGGAGGATAGAAAAGAGAAGAGTAGAGAAAAGAGGTAAGAAATAAGGAGAGAAGAGGAGAGACGAAGAGAAAGGACAGAAAAGAGGGAGGAGGATAGAAAAAGAAGAGAGAGAGGGGTAAGAAAAAGAAGAGAGGAGAGGAAAGAAAGGACAAAAAGGGGAGGAGGATAGAAAAGAGAAGAGTAGAGAAAAAGTAAGAAGGAGAGAGAAAGACGAAGAGAAAAGGACAGAGGGGGAGGAGGATAGAAAAGA